AGCGGCCTGGACTGCGGCGGCTCTTCCAATTTTAAGAAAAAGAACAGGATGTCCCAGCCCGTGCTGAAAGCCGTGGTTGAAGATAAAGAGAAGTTCTCCAGCCTGGGCAGGATGAAGGTGGGTTGTGGCGGTCGGGGACAGGTTGGTTGGAATGGCGTAGGCTGCGCAGGAGCCTGGTTTGCGGGCTCTGCTGTTGCCCAGAAGTGCTGGGGGTTTCAGTTTGCTTTTTGATACCACAGAACTTTCACAGTTACCCGTGAGCCTCGCAGATCACTCACAAGTGGTGGTTTAGAAGTGAAGTGGCGGCGGCTGCAGGGCCTGCGGGAGCCCGAGCAGCGGGAAGATGTGTCAGCAGCCCCGCGCTCGCCGTTCCCGCTGGGCTCCCCGGCTCGGCCAGGGTTTCTGTCGCAGTCAGATCGATGCTTTAAAGCCTGCTTCCCCAGAAGGCAGTAAACAGGAAAAAAAGAGACATGGGCTCAATAAAGTCTGCCTGCTGGAGTAAACAGACTGACACGCTCGCCGTTCCCGCTGGGCTCCCCGGCTCGGCCAGGGTTTCTGTCGCAGTCAGATCGATGCTTTAAAGCCTGCTTCCCCAGAAGGCAGTAAACAGGAAAAAAAGAGACATGGGCTCAATAAAGTCTGCCTGCTGGAGTAAACAGACTGACAGCAAAATAAACTTCCTCCCTTACTCCTCGATCTTTTAGAGACATTACTTTTGAAGTACTGTTAAAAATCAGAGTGTGGGGTGTGTTTTTCCCTTTTAAATCAATACAGACCACTTCAGGTGTGGTTTTGTAGCTCGAATTTTAATGCCTGTAAGTAAAAGCAGAATGCCTGTTTTTAATTCTTGGTTGCAATCTCTTGGGAGTAGTGGATTTGTATGAAATGTTAATGTATTGAAATGAAATGATAAAGATTTACTGAAAATATTCTCTTACTCAAACGTATCATATTGTGATCTTGCATTTCCTTCTTTTTAAACACAGTTTATTACTTTTTAAAAAATAGACTGGTAGATTCCTGTTTTTTTTTGAGCGTTGGGAGTTGTTGAGCAGAGTACTCCAGGCAAAAAGCTAATGCTGTGGCAATTAAAATAATTATCAGCTTTATGACAACTTTCAGCCAAATTAAAAGTTACAGTTATGGAAGCTTCTGTGGAAATGCTGCAGGTGGTGAAATAGTAATGGATCAAATCGTGAACTGCTGAGGAGGGGGTGACTGGTTTTGGCTGGTTTTGGTAGCAGACTTTAACAGTAGTTGTGTTTAAAATAGGAGGACTCGACATTGTCCTGTCTGTACACACAAAACGCTTTTTTTGCTAGTAGCGTTTTTTTAGAGTTCTCAGACCATAGGACTTGTTGCACCAAAACAGCAGTTTTATTTCCAAGGTTTGTTTTGGTCTCAAACCATTAGTTTACAAAATGCTTAATGCGGTGTCTCTGTAGAGCTGTGGAGAGACAGCCGCTCCGTCCTGTGCCTTCTGTCCTCGTGGAGGAGCCCAGTGGCAGGGGAATGAGTTACAAGGTCACTGAACTCCTGTAAAGCTAGTGTGCTGTGCCTTTGAAACAGAGGAAAAATGAAACATTTGGGACAAATACATATAAACAGTGCAGGAGAGAAGGAAAACTACAGTAGCTTTTCACTTTCTGTGGTGAAACAATTGTTTTCATGAGTCCTTGTCCAGCATCAGATGTTTATACATTAGGGCCTGTTAATTCAGTGCCTAAATATCAAATACAATAGAAGTTCTTGTCACTGTTGTTCATTTTGCATTCTTCATTTAATGTGTATTTATCTCTTTCCTGTTAACAGAAGAAAATGCTGAAAGGACAAGGGACATTTGATGGGGAAGGTAAGCCCTTTTCTGTACAGACTTGATAATACGCTCAACCACAAGAGAAATGAACTTCAGGATCATTTTGCACACTTCTTTCATCAGTAGTCAAAGACTGAGTACCTTGTATTTCAGTAAACCAGCTAAAGTATGGAGCTGTAGTTCTGGTACTGGACATACTTTAGGGAATATTTTAAAGAATGTAGAATGACAGGCTAAAGATAGGTTTTTGTTTGAAGGGCTGCTTTTCAACTTAAACTCCCATTCCTCCTAAAAGGTGAACTGATGGATGTGTCTGTCTCTGCCCTGATAGTTGTGCAGCATTACGTGGACGAGGCAGGTTCCTCCTGTTGGGACTGCCATCCTGCCTGTTCCCCGTGACTCCTCCCGGGTGCAAGCCATAGCTCTGGTGGTCAGCCTAGGGGCTTGGGGTCATCGCTTGCAGCAGGCGCCTGCACTGTTATTCTCTGAGTTTGTGGTTCCTGCAGCTATTTCTCTCCCTTCCTCATAAGGCAAGGGTGCTGGGGTGAATTCCCTGACTTTGTAATCCTTTTTCTGCTACCTAGGCTTCAAGTTTAAGTGTCAGAACAACGCTGTCTGTGTATCTGCTCTTTTATGTTACTCATTAATTCTGGGCTTTGCCAAGTTTGCTGCTTTTCTCAATATTTCAACAAGAAAAAAATTCTTTCTTGGCTACAAGTCCATGGAAGTTTCATCGAAATCACTGCTACTCTCTTGGCTTTTCTCTGCTTAATGCCTCCTTAAGGTCATCTCAGCTGCTGTGTTACCTTCCTTTTCCGCTTGTTTCTATTTTCAAGACTTTCTATTTTGTTCTATTTTTATCACCACCTATCTTACTCTTACTTTTATCTTTTCTCACATTATCTCCTAATGGTGTTCTCTAGACTCTCCTCCAATGGCTCCCTTTTATCTTGGGCTGATCCCAACTAATAACTTTCTCTGTAATGCCTCTCCGAATGCAGTTGCTACACACAATTTCCTGTCTAAAAAGTGTATAAACTGTACAGACACATTCCAGAGAGCAAATGCAAGAGGCCAGACCTTGTACAATCCTCAGCCAGGGCTGTATGGTCTGAGCAGGTGGAGCAGATCCACCCAGCCTGGTGTAAGACCTCAGGAGTCGCAGCTGTGCTTGGAGCAGCCAGACCTTTCACTTCTTTCCCCTTGCTCTTGTAGGGGAAGATGGGGTAATGTCCAAAGCCTGGCCCACCTCTAAAGCACCTTTCTGAGCTTGCTTTCTTAATGGCCTAATCCGTCTGCAGGTTATGCTGGTCTTGAATTTCTCTGTCCTTTGCGGTTTGCTTTTGGAAAGGGTCTGTGGTCAGGGAGGTTGGGAAGTGGAGAGGGTGGGCTCCATACCTGCGTTCCTTTTGACATTTGGTCTGAAATAATACTGGCAGTACTGAAATACAGAAGGAGTGTAATTTGTCTTAGGGTTCGTAGGCCTCGTGCTTATTCAGGCAAGCTTTGAAGTTTCTATTCGGAACAGCTCTGACCTCAAATTTCTGAAATTTGGATCATTTTCTTCTCTCAGTGAAGTGTGAAGATGGTATTTAAAGCTGACAGAATAAAAGTTGGCATGGGAAGTGGACTTATAATGGTTTTGTAGATTAAAATAGCTGGACCTCTAGATTAGTGACTGCTCTACTGACACGCTTGTTCCGATTTTAAATTGCTGGCTAATTACGAACCATTGTACAGCAAACCAAGGAAGAAAAAATTGTTTTCTGCTTTTTCTTGACAAAGGACACATCTGTTCTTTAATTCAGTCAGCCTGGATCTTTTTGGTAGTGGTACAGTGATCTATTGTTACTGTACTGCACCATTGTCCGTCCTAAATAAGATGCTATCTTTGTCTCGGAGTTTGTGAGCGACACAGTGACGTTTTTGGTTTCTTTCATTGTTTAGATGTTACTTACAATTTTTGTGAAAGCAGCTAAGCTAACTTTCTAGCAATTAACAACATACTGTTGTTGTTTTATAGAAAACGCTGTATTATATCAGAACTATAAAGAGAAAGCTCTGGACATAGATTCTGATGAAGACTCTCAGCCCCGAGAGCAGAAATTGGATGAAAAGGTTGTTTTTCACTATAAGCCCCTGAGATCGACGTGGAGTCAGCTGTCTGTTGTGAGTATTTGATCGTTGTATAGCCAGACAGAGTATCAAAGAATGTATTGAAGCAAGCCTTTTTACTTGCTACTGGAGTTTTTGGCTGAAGTTTGTCATCTTGTCTTCCCTTCCGAAACACAACGTGTTTCCAAATACTCTTTTATCGACAAGTTTGCAACTGTTCGGATGTTACTAATCCAAAACCAGAGGTCTCAATTTAGCTTTTGTTTAGGTTTTACGTGAGGTAACTCCAACAGCCTAAACAAAGTTTTCTGAGTCAAATTTAGTAGTTACAGACTGATGCTCCTGCCAGAATCGGTTTCCCTGGTTACCCAACACCTCCCTTTTTCTAGCAGAAGTGTTGGTAGGCTCATGCAGCCACACAGCAGACTGGTTAGAGTATCTGGTTTGAAATCACCAAGAAAAAAAATTCAATGTAGTTGAAGGTGGAATTAAATACAATTTGAAACGCAAAGCAGTTGATACTTCGTAATCTCACGCTTGGAGATGCATTTCTATTATTTTTTTCTTTTTAAACTATGCTGGACAAAAAAAGTGAAGCATGCCTCGTTTTGTTTGGCCATTGAAGACCCTGACTTTGTAGTTCCTACAGTCACCAGGCTGCTTAGGCCCTGCCTGCACAGGGAGTTGGCAGCCGTGCTGGTCCTGGGGAGAGGTCTGGGTTATGCTGATGCCTGGTACTGTGGCTGGCTGTTCTGAAGGAGGTGCTGTCAGAAGGCCTGAAAAGACAGGCTTAAATCTGAACAGCGTGTAAACTCGGAAATCTGTGCTTTGTGGTTCCTTTCAGTAAATTGGAGTGGTGTGGAGCAAACCTTAAATAGGATTTAGTCCTGGGTTTTTTTGGTGGTTTTTTTTTGTTGTTTTTGCTAAACTTTGGTTTTCGTTTGCTAAGAACAACATGGAAGTCCTGATCAATTGCTGGTCTTTGTTGTACATGAAAAGCAATGCAATTGAGAGAGTTCACTTTAGGGTTCTGTATCTGGCAAAGACACAACTTTTCTGATTCATTAGAAAAGAAAAGAAAGAAGTGTGTGTGTGAATTGACTAACAGGGTGAATTACGCTAAAGAAGAGCTTCAGTTCAAATAAATTTCTGCTGAATTGTTCTAAATTGCTGCAAGCCAACTCTAAGATGATTTGACCTTATATATTTAGTGGAAACCATTTTAAAAAAAGCTGCGTACTCAGATGGTGGTATTCTGCTATCCTTAGCATAGGCTGTGAAGTGTCTGCAGTGGCTTTTTTTTAGCAGCGTCGTTACACAAAGTAGGATTCAGCTGTTCTGAGCAGTACTGCAGTCTTGCTGGCATCCCTGCTAATAAGCTGACAAATTAATGATAGTAATTGTTATTTCTACAGGCTTTCCTACTATGCCTGATTTTGAGACTAAAGAAACTGTTAAAATTCCCTGTTTCTGTGGTTAATTTTATGCTTTGATCATTTCTGTGGTTTCTGGAGGGATGTCCCTAAAACAAACGGTTGGGGTTTTTTCTGGGTTTTGTTTATGTGACTTGTAGAATGTTGTAGAACCTCATCCCTCTGTGTGGCATAGGAAAGGATTATTATTACGTGACGTGATCACCTAGAATATTTGACAGCTGGGACCATTGGCTGTGTGTATCCTATAGCAGTGAGTTATTAAGCCTCGGCACAATCTTCTAAGGCTATTTAGATTGTCTGTTT